AAGGTTACGCAGATCAAGCAACTTCGCCATAGCCAGCTATAAATCCTATGAAATTCACATATTTTTCGCAGAAAAATCACCGTTTTCCTATGGTTTGCTCTGGCTTCACGGGCACCGTGTACCCAGGCCTCGGCCCCGGCCCATCACGTGGTGGACCCGACCCCCGTCCCAACGGAGTCGGTGGAACGCGCCTTTGGTGTGGAGCCGGTGGAGCCGGTTTCCCCCGTGACCGAGGTGCCATCGAAGTTACCGGCGGGATGGAGAAGTCCTGGAAAAATAGGGGATTTCATGATGAAAATTGCTGTTTTTTTGATGGCGATGAGTTATGTTTTTTTTCTTCCCGATCATTGCTTTGCAATGCGTAAATCCTTTGCTGAACCAAGGTTTCAGGGGTTTCTGGGCGGTGTTTTAAGGGGATTGTAGTATTGTTATTACTATTACACATATTATATATATATTATAATTAGATCATCATCATTATTTGTTATTTTAAACACATTTACTACAATTATTTTTGTTGTTGAGAGTACTCATCCCAGGAGTACGTTCTCGCTTGGCAAAGGAAACATCATTAAGTCGCTTATCGTGGATGGACAAAATCCTGTTTGAACCATTACTAACCAATTAATTCTTCGCAGGGTTTCGTGGTGGTATATGGGGATAGAGCCTTCATGATTCCAAGTACTTATAGTGGGGGTATTCTTGGCAGAAGGTAGTTAGACTGGAATTTATTGACGTGAACTATCCAGAAAATTGTTTACTATATAATTAATAGGGGCTCATATTTAGGGGATGGGTCAAAAACCTTTCGTTAGCATATTTAGGTGAATACACAGCCAATATATAATCATATAATAATATATAATCAGCTATGATAGGGTACCATCTGGGTGCCAGGGTTTTGTTTTCCATCCTACCTAGGACAATAGTCCCTCTTGACAAGCGTTTGTTTCAAAGGTTGAAACCAACAACCTCATTTACTAATATATCTCCAGTTCTAAAGTGGTTTATATATATATTTAATAAACCCTTCTAACCATAGATATATCTTCCATAAGCCCTAGTTAACTTAACACACGTATAATTCATATTTTGTTTAACCAAATTAGGTAAAGAACCGAGACAGCACAATTTGTTTATTCATGTTGACCCTGGTTATGTTAACGATGAGTTTACTCATATAGTGAGTTTGTCGACAGCCAAAATGGATATAGATCACCGAAACTGTTTGGTGGTTTCAAACATCTTTATTGTGAAGCATACTTGGGTTATTGTTATTGTTTTTATTTTTTGTTTAATCCCCCTCCCCCGTGACTAATATTGTCTTGTGAAACAGTGAAAGACTATGCGAAGCCCGAGATAGGTTGAGTGGATTTGGGTTTGAGTCCCCAAAGATGGGATGTATAGTTGATTGATGACGGGTCTTGTGTTGGTTACCCCCTGGTAATTTAACATAAGTATTGAAAATTGCCATTTATAGTTGATTTACCCGGTAAAAATGCTGATTTTCCACAGTTATGTTAGTTTACCAGGGGGTAAGGACTTTCATAGCTCTTGGATATTGATGCATCACTCTGAACATAAATCAGCCAAGACATTGTTTATTGGGAGGCTTGCATATTGGGATGGTCATATCTCCTTCGGCACTGACATACCAAGTATATAATTCCATGGTGCATTGATACACCAATATGTACAATAATATATATATATATATATATAGAAGAAGAACATTTGATACTAAATAGTTAAGAATATAAAACACTTAGAGAAATGGTTTCCGTAAGTAGACATAACGTAACCCATTAGATCCCCAAGCCATTTTTGGTCGGTGTTTCGGCTCGCAGTGCGACAGGTGAGTATTCCGCCGATCCAACCATATCTCGATGTTCAGAAGGACAGCAGCTACTTTGCACGAATGTGTGTCTTGTCAGATTTCGAAAGCACCAAAAACTGGGCTGTTTCAGACAAAGAGGTGGTGCTACACCAGCTCACACAAAAAATGGGAAAGTGAAAACATGTAGCAAAGTCCTAAGATAAACTGGTGTTTTCACTGCTGTTTTGTGGAGATAAACTGGATGCTTCCAATGAACCAAAAAAGTCCTGAGACTTGCAGATAAACCGGATGTAGCCCCATGTATACTTCCTGCGGTGAATCACCTGGAATTGTCCCTGCTGTCCCAGCGACAATCGCAATGCACTCAATGTTGTGGCTGGGTTACAAACCAGCATGGATGTATGATGGAATACTACAGCATCGTTTTCAGGATCGAAATTCATCCTGAGATATGTAGGCTGATTGTAGATCTACGAAGATCGTTTTTAAGTAGAATGATGATGAATACCATCTGGTTATTTAACACAACCATGGAAAATCACCATTTTTAATTGGTAAATCCACTATAAATCTCAATTTTCAATAGCTATGTTAAATAACCAGAGGGTATATGTTTCAAATCAAGTGCTAACCATTGGTTCTAATCTCTATCAGTTTGCCTAGATTGCTTGGGATTCCTGGGCCAGCCAAGTACACCAAAATAAAGGTACAAGTGGGATAGTAGCAAACCTGTCGCTAAGGTTCTTGATTCAATGTCAAGGTATAGCCACCCATTTCAGTTCCAATTCTTCTGGCTACTCTTTGGATACTCTTTGGTAATTTGTTACATAGCTATGGACATTTTTTTCTCAATATAGATGATTTTCCCATATTTTCCCATTAAACAGGAGGGTTTTCAATTGTTTTGGCTGTAGGTCTCTAGTTAATTTCACATAGCCACGGAGAATGGCCAGTTGTGGACTCAGGCACCGAAAGCACCAGTTGCGCGGGCTCCACTGTTATGGATGACGTCTCTTGGTGCCGGAGACCGATCGGATGGTATATATATATATGCTTAGTTATAAAAAACAGAATCATCTCAAAAATGTCTATAGATTCAGTTTGACTTATTACGACTTGAGACTTGAGCTATCTGGAGTTGACTTACGATATTTATGGGCTTAAAATCACCAGAAATTGCCTGTGTGACGGATCACAATGCAGAACGCCAATGGTAACGATTTTTGCGTGCACAACGAGAAGGGTTTTGACCCACACACGGAAATGCTGGTTTATAAATTGAGGTATGTATCTTCCCCGAATGGATTCAAATGGCCTTAGTTCAGTTTCGGGGGCCGCTTGCGCCATTTGGTGAATTAGATGAATGTAACTTTCATGAAATGTGTTGGGTGTTTTTTTTCCAGAGAGTCGTCTTTCCATGCACATGATAGTTGATGATAGTATAATTTTCCAGTTGATGAAAGTATTAGCTATCTTAGTATAATCCCCTATGATGAATTATTTCTTTTGGACATCTAATTTTTGCGGAGAAAATCCGTCGGTTGGATCCTCGAAAAATGATGCCCATGATGTTCGGGATCGGTTCGGAATTTGTGATATGGCTTGAGAGCCCAAAGCTGATTATAGTAGACCATAGAGACCATAGATGAACTATGAATCAATCTATGATTTATAGTAGACATGAAAATAGACCATAGATGGACTAATTGTGAATAAATCTATGATAGGCTATGATAAATGATAAACCATAGCTATTGCTATAACCTGGATTATCATGATCCAGCTGTGGCTTGAGATCAGATCCACCGCTTTCATTGAAAGCCGCTTGCTTATTTTGTGGGAAACAAAAACGCAGTACAAATCAAGCGGGGAACCTTCCATCAGCAACCAGGCTTAAGTCCAGCTGAATGGCAAAATAAATTAGGGTAATGAATACTCAATGGAACCTCATAATGAACTCCCCCCTATGTCCCAAACTAGGCTTGTTTGGGACACATAGGCTACTCCAATCTCCAAATTTCAATCATAATTGTCCCCATTCAAATTTTGTGATTTGGAGCTATTCTTCCATTTTCAGGCGCCGTTACATGGATGTGTTTTTTCCCCCACCGGTCACTCTGCGATCTCCGGATAATTCGCCACTGAACAGTGGTCCACATGTGCATATATATTTCAGCAAAATATCGTTATAGCAAAAGGATTAATTTTCCCCTTTTGTTATGACATTCACAGTTCGCCATGGAAAGCCATGGCCCTAATCGAAATAGATGGTTTACCTATGAAAATCGCATGGTGATTTTCCATGGCGAACTGTGAACGTCATAACCAGATGGTAGCAGTGACTCCAGCAACACTGATGGATCCGTATGGATTCAGGAAGACTTTCTGGACCAGCACATTGACTGGGTACGTGCAGTCTCTGATGCTGCGCCCGTGGAGCGTACCTTCATTCAGTTCAACACCAATTTGAAGGCGCGATTCGGCGTTTTAAGCGCAGAATCGAGACGTCGAGAAAAATGGGTTCAGTAATACCATGTCATAGCGTGTTATACCCATTCATTCATCTCCTAATGTCACTGGTTCCAAACTACGGCAAGCTTGGAACATCATCTCAAATCATCTCAGATGATGAGAAAGTGTGGGGTATCAATGGGAAAAAAGCGCTGTAGAATCATCGTGAAGTACATAGTTACTATCATAGCTTCAAGTTAACCAGTCTTTAACCAGTCTTTGCCTATGTATATCAAAAAAAATGGATATGAGTTGGACGTAGCTCCAGATTTTCATAGCTTTTGTGACTTTGTTGAGAAACCAAACCCATCCAGTAAGATCTATGTACCCCTCAGCAGCATGGATAGGTCGTGGTTAAAAAAACAGCAGACAAGCAGGGATGGTATCTATGTTTGTTTGAAACTAGGTCACCAAAAACATCTAGGTCACCAAAAACATTATGCTTCATATATATGTTCCTTTGCTGAATCATCATGCCGAATGCCCTTTTTAAATGTTCACAAATTTCCGGGTGCTCCCCCATCTCCATCGATCTGGTCGTCGATCGAAATCGCGCGCAGGTCAACCGAAGGTCCCGTTCTCGCTAAGGATTTCTGTGCTCGCCGGGATCCCCAGCAGGTTTTTAGATCGTTAAGTGTGTTGGTTTATGTCAGTTGATGTTATAAGTTAGAACTGTTAATGTTGGTTCTATAAGATTATATATATATAATTAATTATATATATAAGTATACTGTAAGTATACCTTAATGAGGTAAACCTAATACTGGACCATGCTCCGTTGGGGTTTTATTATTGGGTATACCACATTTTAGACAATGGAAAACGACCGCATTTGGTTACTGGGATTGTTGATTGTTGGGTTTACCATATTATGAGAGTTATGTTTGCCAAGATATAGCCATTCCAAACTGGGGCACCATGTTGTGGAATGAGGACCCCCGAGGGCGGCCCCTACTCTCAACCCCCATCAACTCTATCATTGGGGTATATCAGTTGGAACGAAATTGATATTGGGTCATTTGGATGGGTAAAACGGTACAGGCAACGGCCCATGCTGGTCTCAAAATCTGGAAGCCACATCAACCCTGTCTAGAAAATATGCTTCGCCATTGAAATAGTCCGACGTGGGGGTTCCCCACCCATCGACACACCCATGATCTCTTGCTCCCTATGGGATTATCCCTGAAGACGTGTTGTCTAAACCCCCGAAAGATATATTCGAACACATCACCATGTACCATTGCCTGTGTAGCAGAATAGCAGAGATGTTGACTTAAGTCAGATTTGTGATGATTGTGACTATGTGGTTTGCTTACCAGAGACTTTCAACATCTGGATGTTCGATCCATTCCGCCATTGTCATTACCCAGAAAGCTGGAATCCGGACGTCAGGGGGGTCACTTAAGCGTTTGCTGAGGTAGACAGTCTAAAGCAGATGCCGAAGAGGACCGTTTTTAAGTATGCATGGGATTTGTACAGACAGTTTCAGCTCACTCCTTTATCAACAGTTGTGGGTTAGATTTCACAGACCTTGGTTCAGAAACACTGGGAAGTCTTGGCAGTCTAAAGTCTACGTAGAGCTTAAAGTCTGGGAACATGACACTTGCTTAATGGTTTTGCCTTTAGCGGCTTCGTAGCGTTTGTCATATGCACAGTTGATCAAGCCAAACACCATAAGACGAGGTTGAGGGTTTCAGTTGGGAACAGAAAAGCCGCACTCTACTGTATACAGTTTGCACAAACCATTAGCATTTGACTAACAAACAGTTCCAACAGATGGTTCTCGAAAACAAATAATCAAAACGTGACTGTTATTGTGCGCGACAACTGGAGTAGTTCATACGGTCCCGTGAAACATATGGGGTAGGGCCACATTCTGAAACGGTTCTGTTGGCTTATAAATCCAAGAACTGTTGGATTTGTGTTGGATATATCATGATATATCGCTCAGTTCAATGGCTTTTCACATAAACCAACGACTTGAACCAAAGATGGGGGCACGGTTTTTGAACAGGCTACAATGTGAGGCCCCCAGTTATGAGTTGGTTTAGATTCGCCCCAGTAACTATAGTTATTTGCGTACCATAAACCATAGTTATTGGAGTTATGAACCAACTTAGCTAACTTGGGGGCCTCACATTGTAGTCATGTCCAACAGTCAAACGCTTCATGGTTCTCCGCTGACTTCCACGAAAAACCCACAGCTCGCTGTGGCAGCTTTCCCGCCTCCCGCCAACGTCCACTGCGGGCATGGCAGTTTTGTTTAAGATGTTGGCTGCAGATGGGACCTCCATCGATCTGGCAGTTGTTGATTGAGCATTGACCAAAAACCTACTTGGTTGATCATGTTAGGTATACTAGAGTCAGATTCCATGAAGTGTTTAGATCGCCATTCACCAAATTTTCCAAGAGGTGCTTAAAACAAGGGCTCGTTTTGCAAGAAGCAGATCCCTTCGTCCTGAGACTTGCTACGTTGGAGCTTCGGATTCCGATATAATGGGACTGATTTCAGTTGTGGGAGTTGTCCCTGAACCATACAAAGTAAAGGTGTTGTGAACACACACACACACACGCACTAGACAAGAAATGGATCATTGAAGTGATCCGTTGGGAACTCAATCCCAAAATGTGCAAAAAGAAAGGATATATATATATATAAAAATGACGTGTGTATAAATATATATATATGGGACTATGGTGTGCGCCACCAAAGTCCCGCAGGTACGTTTACACGGGTTTTGGGGAGGTGTCTTCGTTGATCACCGACCGCACCCCGGTGATCCCCTGCTATAATAGAATATTACTAAAATAAGCGACCAGCAAAGTTTTACGTCTGTGCAAACGTTTCACACAAACACGCACACGCACACACACCCTGCTCTAGGCAGGGTGAAGTCTTGACAAATGAAGTGAAGGTGAGGATGCAAAGGGAATGAGAATGAGATGAACATGAAGATGAAATGGAAAATACTTGACCAGGACACGAGGAGGAGAACGCAAAAGAAGAGGTAAGAAGAAAACACCAACACCAACACACCTGGCCCGGAGCGGGCAAGCCCTGAAAGGGCAAGAGAAAAGAAAAGCGGAGGCCGACGGAAACGGAGCAAAACCAGCGGAGGGGGGGAAGACAGAAGCGCCTGAACCAACCTACCACGGCGAAACTTAAGCCTACCTCAGCACGCGCAGGACCCAACCTACCTAAGGAGGAAAGCACACATGAAATAAGGGGCCAATGGGGACCTAGCTGAGGTATCACCACATCATTGTGTTGATTATAATTATTTAGTAAACTGCACCCCATTTTAATCCCATATCATAATAGTTTGTTTTTTAAAATATTTTTTTTAAAAAAAACATAGCCGGTTTTGTAGCCAAATGTTTGAGAACATCCCATTAATCAACCATCCAGACTCTTTTGGTATCCTATCAAACGGTGTACTTTGGATTTAGCAGCTTCATTGTGATTGTCCAGTCATCAATAAGAATTCCAACCAGCTACAAACTGCAGTTTGTATGCGGTTGTTAGTTTCTAGCCATGGGGCCATAGTTTGTATGCAGTTGTTAGTTTCTTCTTGAGGTTTAAGTCTATTTCCCCATGGATCCATGGCCACTGTCTGAGAAGGTACAAAAAAGCCTCCAAATTATAGTAAATGATACCCCAGTCCCACTTCCTAAGAAGGTACAACTGGATCCATAGGGTGTATATATATATGATATGATATGTATGAAAACTATATATTTATATGATATATGTTGCACACTATACATACGGGACTTTCTACTTCATATAAGTTCTATTCTTCAGTCCTGCCGAGCACGGATTGATCTCCAGATCTTGTGGCCAACTGATTTGAAGCACCGGTGCGTCGGTCGCTAAGGGGTTCTTGGCACCGGTCGGGTCGCTTTGTGCGGAGCGTTGGCGGAGAGATGATCCGAACATCGAGATGGTACACAAAACAACGAGAGAATGGGGATAAAACCAACTATTTCATGGGTATAGTAGTGGAAATATGTATGGGAATATGCAGGGTTTAATTTCACCTACTGTTTTTGTTCCGTTGATTTGGGTGATTTATTGCAATGAATTGGGAAGTGGATGTGAATAAATTGATCAAAACGCGGTAGGGGATACCCTTTGTACTGGGATCGTTGATAGGATGACAAGTGACTCTGCACAAAAATTCGTTTAATGATAGGATTGACCTTAAAATAGATGGTTTTTACTTTGCCAGCAGTAAATGATGGAGTGTTTTGTTTCCTTGAAGTGGCACAATTAGCACATGTTTTTTTTCCAAGGGTGGGGATATCCAAGAGGGATATTTAAGATTTTGGGGAAGGGATTGCAAGACATGATAAGGAACAGGGGTGACAATTGCTGACTCAGTATGGACATCCATACATTGTCATAGGGAGCATTTGGAATCCACAGGAGTTCCATTGAAGATGGCACGTCCTACAGCCATTCTACTCCTGTATGTTAGCTGTAATTCATGATAGTCCCCCCAATGGATGGTTCTTTCAATGGACAAATATGGTAGAATGATGGTCCATGAGATCATGATTGGCGTTCCCAAAATTTTCAGACAGAGACAATTTTAAAACACTTTCATTTTTCGTCACTGTTAAAATATGTGTCAATGAATGTTATCGAGGCGGTTTTAATTTGTTGTTGACTTCTTGGAATTTTTCCTCTCTCCACAGCATAACCGCACCGAGTTCCTCTTTCCGATGCTTTTGGGGAAAGCTCCCTGAAGGCACTAAAAAGGCACCTACAATGATGCTCATGGCAAACCCCATGAAACTGGCATTATACTTATTATCTGCAGTTAGAATATATTTAGATAAATAATGATAAATATATTATAAATATCATATATTATAATATGTGCATACATGTGAATGAAATGTAAACATATGATATGTATATAATGATATATATATATATTATATATATTATATATCAAACATTTTTAATGGTTGATTCATCTTGATTCCAGTTGTTATCATTCGCCCATCACTGGAGGTGCCCTGTTGCTGAGACTGAATTCGTCCACGGAAAGGTGTGGACAGCTCGCTTCATCGAGCAGCCGGTCTGGGACGTGGACGTCCTGGGCTCATGCTGGATGTCAGCAAAAATTGTTCCTACTTGGCCTAGGAAAAGAAGACATACATGACATGGCATGGGATGATAAGACACTACAGTATAGATCAGTCTAGTACATGACGTCACATATGTGGGTATAGATGGTGTCATATGGTGTCTTTAGTTCTTTGTCACCCATTGCTTATTGGCCACGGGCCTTCTATACTTTGGAAGATTATTACTATTTGTCTTGGCGTTCCAGCAAAACTCTAAGTAGCATGAACATGCATGAACAGGCTGTAAATTATCTGAAGCTACTGTACCCTGAAACCACAAGGTGACCAAAGTGTCTTTGCTAATGTCCGCCAAGTTTGATGAAACATTCATGAAACGGGGTGATATCTCCGACATTGACTGCTGCGGGTGGTTTCTTGACGGCATCTCTATAGTTGGCATCTTCAGCCAGCTCCGACCTTCCCGATGGTTCGCCAACGTCTTCGCATG